TAGTATATATATATATATATATATATATATATATGTATATATATATGTGTGTGTGTGTGTGTTACTCTAAATTTATACTATTATACTGAAACAAAAGAAATAAAAACATGGAGGTCATACACTGGAATAAATTATACTGTTTATGATATATCACCATTTAACTGGCAATCTATACATGCAAAACATTAATGTATAAGTATATATTAAGTAGTATAAAAATAGTAATCCATTTTAATATGCACTTTTGTTCAAATATATATAGATCAGGGATGTAATATGCAAATGAAGAAAGAAGTGCATAGCACAAACAGCAAGGCCTTATACCACGAGGTGCAAATCTCATTACCAGCTTTTGAACATACATAATTTCACAAGATTATTTTTTTTCAATCTCATTACTGTCTGACAAGATTTAAGGGTGGCAATAAGCACCTTGCATTGGCTGATCTCAATGATATTGTCCCCTGGTGGTACAGCAGTAAGTCTACAGACTTACAACACTAAAATCTGAGGTTCAGTTCCCTTCAATGGACACAGCAGATAGTCCAAGGTGACTTTGCTCTAAATAAACAAAACCCTCATTGATACTTTATACATTCTGCTCAATTGGATCGGGAATTTATCAAAACTCCATATCCCGGTAGGACAGTGGTAAGTCTTTGGATTTACAATGCTAAAATCAAGAGTTCGGTTACCATCAGTAGACACAGCAGACAGCTCGAAGTGGCTTTGCTATAAAAAAAACACACACACATTCAAAACCCCTCCCCAAACTTTTAATGAATTTTGGGACCCATATTTTTCAATTGAAATGTGCACATTTCTATAAATCCACAAATTTTTCTCATCCCTGATGGATTATTTGGAACCATCTTCTGTATATGTTGTTATAAAACTGTTTCACCTTCTTTAATAGCACACATTTCCAAGTTTATTGTCAAAATAGTTTTAATTAACAATGAACTTTATAAAACATCTATTTTTAAAACAAGTATTTAATTTAAAATATATGTATAATTTAACATCTGAAAGTTGGTGGGAAAACTAGGAACTGCATATATATCACAATTGTTTTATAACTTCACGATTACATGTAACAAACCAGCACAAAACGTGTCTAAATGAACTGAAAAACAAAGAAAAATCTCAAAAATCAAATTTGCCAATATATTATACTGCACCTAATTTGTATGCAGTTTTTTCATCCTCAACTAGTATTGTTTTATATCTAATCAAAAACATATTTGGTGTAAAAAAAAAGTGCTGCCAAAAAGGAGTGAGTGTGCATCTTAAAAAAAGTGAAATCAAAATCGGCAGCCAAACTTGTAGCATTCATACATATTTTACAGAAAATATTCATTCATTAGTTGGCTAGGCCATGTATTTTGTTTTACCCACCATCATGCCCCAAGTTGAACAAAAAATGCAGCCTGGTTAACTGATGAATGAATATTTGCTGTAAAATTCGTGTCAATGCTGTAAATGTAGCTACCAGTTTGGCCATCAATTATGATTTCATTCCTTTAAGTTGCACACTTGATACTTGTCAAATTTGAGAGATTTTTGTTGAATAACTTTGAACATGTGGCTTATACTTATACTAAATGAGACTCCTAATTATAGGTTTAAAGGATCTATCAGTGTACCAAATTTGAAAAAAATCCATAAAAGTTAAGTATGTTTTTCTATCAAATAAACTTTACTTAAGGTGTTAAGAAAAAAAAAGGATATGTTATATCTCATGTATTTCTTAATGGATGGCCTTGAAATTTGGTATGTGAATTAAGAGTCCAGTAAAGCACATCCACTGAAAATATGTGATAGTTTGAGTTATCACAGTCCAAAATACAGAAAGTGGAAAATTGCTAAACTATCACTCCTGTTAATAACACGCACTGTGTCCTACAACAGGTTGTCTTGGCCACACGACACACTGCCATGTGTCTTGGTTAAAGCTTTAGAGAAAATGGATAAGTTAACTAAGATGTTCCAGTTTTCATATATTTGTTCAAAATACACCAAACATAAAATGAGTTGACTGGACTTTATGTTTAAAAAAGTCAATTTTCAAATTCATTGACAACAAATAACCTGCTGGCTTTTCTTATTACTATTTTACCCTATAATGCTTAAGCGCATTTTGAGTAGATTTAGGATAATTTTACCGAGTTATTTTCTCAAAAGCAAAACACCAACAAAGTGAGGATCAAAGATTAAACAAACGCTCATTTTAAAGGTAAAACGGTGTTTCATTATGAATACAAGAAGTACTTTGGATCAGGTGTGTCGAGAGCCAGCCCATGCCCTGGGGTCAGTAATATCATCAGGCCCCTTTCATTCTATTTGATTTTTTATAAAAGAAATTTAAGTGACAAATTTCTTCATGAATACATGAAAAAAGCAGTAGCCATTTTAGCTCATTAAGTAGTAAACATTTCTAGTGAGCTTTGGAATATCCCACGGCCGGGCCCCTCAATAGACCACGGACCAGCCCCCCCCTCCTCTTATCAGCCCTGCTTTGGATACCACCCCTTGAAACTTGTATGAATACAGAGTTGCATACAATCCTCAAGTGGAAAATATAGTAGTCAAAATTGACAAAACAGAAAACACTCATTTTAGCACTCTATATTTTTAAATAGATGGATTTGTCAGCATAAAGTATTCTATATACTATATTCAACCTTTAGATATCTATACTTTATTTTCAACTGGTTCCATAAAATGTTTTTGCCAAAAGACACAAATTCTAAATTAAAAAAAAGAATTTGCACTTTAATTTTTATTCTAAATCTACTGTAATGAAAGGGCATTTTATATACCATACCTGGTATTTCAGAAGTCTGTTGACAGGCAATTAATTCAGAAATGAAAAGATTTAGTAAAATAATTATTAGTGGTATGGAATGAAGTGGTGTTGGTCTACTGTGTGACAATATCCTTGAGGTTATGTCCTTCAAAACTTTTATTAGTATGTATCATACACTAAAAATGCCAATTATAAAGATGTAAGCAATAACAAATGAAACATTTTATAACAATAATTACATGCAAAGGAGATAAATATTTTAATAGTTTTACTAAATTTAGCAATCAGTCAATAACTGTGTTCAAAGAGCTGCCCAAATATAATAAATGCCAGCTATTGTATTGTCAATACTGGTTGATGCTGGTGTTCTTGGTCTGCCCATATGGTATCTGTAGTTTCCAAATAACTGATGACGCTCATCTAAAAACTGTTCTACATACAACCTGGCAGAAACTTGAGCATCCTGGTGACACTCTCCATACAGTAGGACCTTGTTAAACTGTCCTTCAACTGAATATATGCCATAATTTTGGATGATTTAAAAGCAACAACAGCACAATGCTTGTGTGCTATCTTATGTAGGGAGTTTTTTCTAAAATTTTTAATCTTTTTTTACCCTTTGAAGTGCAGTGACCGGCTAATGCAAAATTCTGACTTTGTACAGCAAACACTGGTGGAACACAATATGCTATGGTAGGATTTTGATTTTTTGTGACACAACTCCATATGCATAGAATGGATACATGTATTTATGCTTATAACTGTTGTTCTTGGGGAGAGATTTTGGTAGTTTTTGATTTAAAATGTTTTGCCATTTACGTTTTGGGTGTGTGATGCATACTAATACCTCATACAAAAGACAACACCATGAACATAACTTTGAATGACCCAATGATATTATCCCAGGGCAGGCCGACAAAACCTTATTCCACATCCTAACAGTTATTTTCCTATACTTCTCCATTTCAGTATTATTTCCTTGTCAGTGGACTTCTGAATTACCCTGTATAACTCCATATATTCACATCTTACATGACTAGAAGTATGCAAATATTTATCTAAATGTACAAAAAATCTGAAAAAACTTCATGAAGTATTATTGGGATTTTTTTATGAATTGATTTATATTTAAAAGTCTGAGTTGGCTTATTATATAGAATCAGCTTAGTTAATGTCTACTGACTTTTATGTTATAATCTAATTAGATTATTTTTTATCAAAAGCTCTTAATAAACACAATACCATTGTTCACTCGTGTTTTTCCTGTTAAATATAAAGCATATCATAAAAAGTGTATTTTTATAAATACTTAAGGTACGATTCTGTATACCTTTAATACTGGGTGTGCAGCTGAAATTTTTGATGTACATAATTTTTGTTTAGATTTTTTTACCGTATTACACGACTTTGTCTGCTATTCAATCTTAGTGAAACTAAGGAGAATGTTAGAATACATTATACATCAAAGTAATTTTGAAAATACTGCCTATATTAGTGTTAAACTATCCATGTTCATCCCTTTGAGCCTACAAATGTTATAATTTTTGTAAAATACTAAGACTGATGTCAGCCCTAACCTGTATTGTATAATAAGGTATTTCCATGAATATACAATGCAGTTATGAGAAGAATATTTCCATTGGTATATGTATGCATGGTTGATTAAATAGAATCATAACCAAGAAATGAGTTACATACAGTGTTGGAGAAAATGACAAAAGGTAAGTGGGAAATATTTCACCCCAAAAGAGTATTATAAATTCAAATTATTATGTATTTCTATCAAAATAACTAATTATTCACCAAACTTTCATATCAAAAAGAAAGTGTAATAACCTGTTCAAATGGTGATTGAGTTTTAATTTTATTGATGTAAAGCAATATAAAAACAAAGGCACTTCTTTGTAGTATTTTATAAAATATTAGCATACTAAAGATCAATGAAGTTTAATTTAAAACAATGATATTAAAGCATTAAATAGTATTTACAGACTTGTGTGTCCATACTAACCAGCATTTTAACTTTAAATACCAGTGCAACATTTCATGTTATGAGTTTAAGTATAGTACAGTAAAAATGACAAGAAATTACAGAAACTGCAAAGATTTATGATGGTTTTCTACAGAAAAAAAAAGCTTTTATATTTGTTAGTTAAGTTTTCCCAAAGTGAATTTAATTACTATCCAAACTATTAAATCAAAATTATATCAAGGAATGCATCCTCCTTCTGAGAGCCAAGTGAAATCCTTTTCAACAGCCCAATGCATATGCATTACACCAAATATCACTAGAACATGCATGATGTTGTGACTGTTAAATACTATGTCAAGTTTCCCTGGTAACCACCGTTCTGGCACATGTGTAGCACTGATAACTGCTCCTGTCACTGACCACATCTCCTGCATTATCACATGTACTAAAGCCTGTAATCATAAAAAAACTTGCACATTAAAACAGTTTACTTAGATTAAAAGTATTTCACATGTACTGTTCAAAACCTTAAAGGTCATTGTGTACTTTCTCATGGGGAAGATTCCTGTAAAGTAGAACATACTGTATAAATATAGACAGTGATCTCAAAACAAGGACACTGCAACTCTTATTTTGTAGTGAAATTGACCATGAGTTATTTGGACAGATTCCCTAAAAAGAATAGCATTGTTATTTTGCTTCATAATACCTTATTTTCTCAGCTGGAACATGATGATTTTGCTAAAGATAAATTTGATTATATTTAAGCTTTCCAGTAAATGTGTTGAAATAACACTTGTTTTTGCCTTTAAGTATTTGAGATAAGATGTTTCACTGTCTTTAACTTGTGTCCAATCTTGTTTGTTTTTTTTTGTGTGTATGTCAAGTTCAGTCAGGATTAGGAGAATACCTAATTTTGTACCACAATACATTTTGTGACGAATCTCCTGTTATTCTTCCAATTATATTATGGGAAATCAATTAACCTAAGAATAACGTGCAAGCATATAACATTAAAACTATCTTACCATTCCAGCACTATTACCCCAATAAAGTTTGATACTCTATATAATTCATATGGCCAAGGTTGCTAGTTTAAACCTTAAATCCTATAGGTGGTAATAATATGCACCCTTATGTTGGTTTCTTTAATTTAAACAAGTCTTTCACAATTTTCTACTTATGTATTAAAAGTAAAAATCATGACATCGTGTAGATGAAAAACATTACTCAAGAATGTTTTCATATAAAAGTTCACTAAGAAAAAGTACATCTGAAGCTGAAAGTAATTCATTACAGCCAAAAGCACTTTCTCGTGGTAACATCTGCATAAAATTGAACTAAATGTACAAAATGCTTTTATCTGTAGTACATATTAAATGGATATTTTATGTTACAGTAACATATGGACAAGATAGGACCAACCTTTGGGAAAAATAAATATTCAAATTGAAACCCGGCCTTTTATTTTCAGGAAATCATTTATTCTCTTTTTAAGCTCCAACAAAGTGCTGACCTCCACCACTGCCAACAGCAGCTTATTCCATAAATTAATCACCCTGTTAGAGAAGTTAGTCTTAACTGGATCCTTGTCTCTTTTTTTTCTAAATGTTAAATCTGTATCCTCTTGTCCTATCATCTTCAGAATATATCACAAAGAAATCAGAGACCATTATCATATGACTCCCCTGAATTTTCTTGTAAACTTCAATGAGATTACTTCTCACCCTTCTTTTTTTTTTTTCAGGAGAAAATTATACCTTAACCTATTCTTGTAAGATAACACTTCCATCCAGGAATCATCACTGTAACCCTCTAGTGAACTTTTCCCAATAAGTCAATAACCTTTCTTAAATAAAGAGACCAAAACTGTACACAGTTTTCTAAGTAGGGCTTTTTAAGTAACTTTTAAATGGAGCCTTCTAAATTGGGAATTTCACATTATTCTTTTGATAACTGAGAAATTAAGTGGATATAAAATAAAACAATAGAAAACACAAAAACTTACTTCTGGTTCATTAATTATAATAACAACCCTTTTCAAGGATCAATTATTCTGTCTAATTTATTATAAGCAAGTGTGCACAATAGAAAAGTTTCTTAATAACAGTGAATCTTTTTTTTTCTTGTTTGAATGTTTGTTGTTTTGTGCTTCCTTCAACTGTTTATAAATATTTAAACTGCTTGTAAAAGCTGAATGTCTTGCTTCTGCATGAAACATGCTATCAACTTGTTTTTGTGGCCTCTTACACGGGTATGTCTGAAGTTCAGCACTAGTTCTTATTAATGAAAACTTTTTTTTAATAATTCACATTACTTACACTGCATGTACCTAACCATGGATACCTCTGCTTGTATTTCAAGCCTGTGAAATACCTTGCATTTGTCCTGGTTGATCAACCAGGGTCTGGATCATTGTCACTGATTAATACTTTTTTTTTCACAATGATGGAGTTTCATTGTCAAAATGTACATTATTCAAAACTTGAATACTATCCTGTCATATTGTAAATCTATTGACTTCAACATGTAGACTGAAGCAGTACTTGCAGGCCTGGTTACTGAGCCAATACCCATGTTCAGAAAGAAAGTAACATTAAAACTGAGACCTTTGTTGTACATTGTAATGAATAAAATTATATCATACTAAGGTCATAATAGCATCACCAGAATTCTTTGAGGGTGGAAATATAAATTTGATATGTAAATAGTATAGCAATAGATTGCCAGAAATTACATGTTTACTACTTTATTTATCCTCTTCTTTTCTTTTCATCTCTTAATAAGCATATTTATCCTCTTTTCTATTGTCTCTTTTGTCAATATAACACAATTTCTTTTGTCAGTATATATCTGAAAATTTGTGATGTGTTTGCAATAACATGATGGAAGTGATAGAGAGCAACAAGGGTAATATAAAGTTGCCACAGCTAATGGTCTGCTATGACTGAGCAGGTCTAGCAAGATGTTCATGGATAGTAACTTCCATATGATACTAACCCAGTTCCAGCAGATGTACATCTTTCATGTTTCCTTTTGCAATGTTTTAGCGTCATGTGATTGTTATCATTTAAAGAGCCATTATAAACTTATTCCTTGCTTTTTTGTTATACTGAAGATGCATTTTACTTTAACTTCCTTTCCCAGTCATAATTTAAATTTCTCTCACATTTACATTTGTTTATTTAACATTCAATTTTGCAATGAATTCTGAGGTTCATGTTACCACCTCGGGCATCATACCTCCTACAAGCACTCTTTCACAGGCTGCAGGTGGGGGTGACCAGTCATTGGATTTAACTGCTGAGAGATTGATCATTACATGGGTCAACCACCTACTTCTAAACTTGCTCCACTTCCTCCTGAACACACCAAACCTGTTCAGGTCGATGAAGATTCTTATCACATTTTTCTGCCATCGGATTTTGCTGTGTTTCCCTATGCCCAAACTGCAGAATCAGCTAGGCCTAATTCAGTATTTTTAGACATGAATTTTCAGGTATGTGATGTTTTATCCATTTCCCTGATTTCCTAAGATCCCCATCCTTCTTTGTTACATGATAGTTCTTCCTCACCTTATTTAGTTTTTCCACCCTCCCTGGATATTAGGGTTCATGCTGAGCAACTTGCTTCCCAATTGGTTGAGGGTGCCAGCATACCTCGCCCTCCATGGGCTAAGAATCAGTTTGCTTTGGCTTACCATCACGTTGACTGTTCGTTTCTTGACTCTCAGCAGTTGGGGTCTATTTTACCTGTGTGTGGGGTGATTTTCCTGTGAGTTTAACCCATGCCCAGTTTTCCTGCCTTCTTCTTACCCTTACATCACTTCAGTGGTACTTACCTACCATCCATCTCCTTTCTAAGGCAATCCACCAAGATCCTGAGGGTTTTTTTGGGGAAGCCTTTTCCTTATTACCTCCACATTGGCTCCTTTATCATCTCTGGCTCTTGCTTTACACACGTGGTTTATCTGCTGTTGGGATCTTCTGGGTCAAGATGGGTCTTGTCCCAGGTTTGTTTGCCACCCTCTTTTCTCAGGGATTTACACATAGTCCCTTTTCTTCAGAGATATGTTTCAATCTTGTACCTGAAACTTTGGAATAGTGAGTGGAGTCTGTGCATCCACACACTACCCTTTTGTCTTTGGTAGCTCGTTTGTTGCAGTCGGAACAACGACATACCCCTATTCCTGTTTCCCGTCCCAGTTCTTCCCTCCAGGGGTTCCTCATCTCATCATTTTATTCAATGTAGATGGGCATGATGCCAAAATAACGGTAACTACCCAGTGGGTACAGGTCCAGTGGGAGCTTGTTTGAGCAAATTTAATTTCCATTTGGCAATCTTTCACCACAGATCAGTGGGTTATTAATACAAATTTCCTTCCCTATGCCTTGGGATCCTATTACCTGCCAGTATCTGTTAGAGGTTGTTCAAGAACTTTTGTCTGAACAGGCCATAGAACTTGTTCATCATCTTTCTCCAGGTTTTTATTCCAGGCTGTTTGTTCTCCCCAAGAAAACCGGAGTCTGGCAGCCTATGATGATTTGTCCTACAGTCAATTTTTCAGTCTACCTCATTTTACCATGGAATCGTTTTTCACCCTCAGGTGGGCTTTTTCTTCAGGTTTGTGGATGACTAAGATGGACATCACGAATGCTTACTTGCAACTTGCATATCCTGATATCTTGTCAGTGGTGATGCTATCTTCAGTTTGTTCATCACAGGGTGGTTTATCAGTTTCGCAAGCCTGACCTTCAGTCTTGCTTTGGCTCCATATGTTGTGATCAGTGTGTTTGCACATCACCTACATGTTCTTGGGTTGCGTTTTAATAATTTTTTTGGATGACTGGCTACTGTTAGCTCATTCCAAACAGAAGTCTGCCAGTCACACCCATCAGCTGCCCCTGGAGGTGACTTGTGTGAACTGGTTAATCCAGTTGGAGAAGTCATTCCTTCAACCTACCCAATATCTTGTACATTTGGATGTTTTATTCAACACCTATCTCAGTCGGGCCCAACCTTCTCCTCTTCAACTTCGTTCTATGGAGCTTTCAGCTCTCCACGTTCTTACTGTTCCATCTATTACAGCTTGTGAGGTTCTATCACTTTTGGGGAAATGGTCTTTCATGGCAGCCCTTATCCCCTTTGGTTGTGAGCATATGCAGGCCAGTGGAATCTTGTACGGAATCCTTTGCAGGCTCTTATTACCCTTTCTCCAACCCTCATCAACGATCTGCACTAATGGTTGAACAAGTCTCACAAGTCAGTGGGTGTACCACTTCCTCCTCCACGTCCAGATTTACACGTTTTCACAGACGCATCCCTTCAGGGATGGGGGGCACAGGTCAATCAGCAGGATGCTTCATGGTATTGGTTTGCAGCTTAAAGGTCTTATCATATCAACATCCTGGAGCTTCTTGCTGTACATTGAGCTTTGGTTCATTTCTCCATCTGGCCAGAAACAACTGGTCATGATCCATACCGACAATTATACAGTGGTAACTTATCTCAATCACCAGGAAGGCACCCATTCTTGATCCCTTTGTTTTCATACATTAGATCTTCTCTTTTGGGCCCACACACATGGTATTCATATCATTGCACGTCATGTTCTGGGTGCTTTCAATCTTGTTGCAGACAAACTCTATCTAATGGAATAGTTTCTCGATCCTCTTGTTTTCCAGTGGTTTTGCCTTCAGTGGTGCACTCCTCACATCAATGCTTTTTCTACATTCCTAAACTACAAATTACTTCTGTTTTGGTCTCTGGTTCCTCATCCTCTTACTCTGGCTGTTGATGCTTTCAGCCAGGATTGGACCAACCTATACCTAAATGTTTATCCTCCCATTCGACTTCTTCACTGGGTGATTTTGATCAACCATACCACTATGTGTCAAGTCCTTCTGACTGCTATAACTTATAACTTTTGGTGCTCCCATTCCTACTTCCTAATTTTTTTTTTACTTAAAAATTGTTTACACTTGTCTAATAGCTTTCTTTGGTACTAAGTTTCATAAGTGAATAGGCTCTAGGCCAGTCCTTCTCGCAGCTTTTCTTGGTGCTAGGTCTCGAGGATGACTGGGCTCTAGGCTTATCCTTCTCGTAGTTTTCTTAGAGCTAACTCTCTAACATTTTCTGGCTTTTTCTGATATCTATGCTATAGTTCTTCCATCTAGCCAAGGTGGCAGTCTTTTCTTTGGCTGTATTAATGTCTAAGACTTGTTTCACATATTCAGCATTACTGTTTCTGATCTTATCTTTATTCTTGCAGTAATGCTCTCTTTGCTGGAAGAAAGACTTTTTAAGGTTATCAACATAAGAATTTCTCCTCTGCTCCCATTTTGTTTCTTTGAAAGGCTATTTTAAAAATTGCACTGTTTCAAGTACAGCATTACATGTCACTAGTTCACACTTAGTTTGAAAACAATGCAAAAGTAAATTATACAACTTATTGTTCTTGTTTTCAGTCCTAGTGCAAGCAAAAAAGTGTCAGACTTCGACAGTGGTAGTGTTTGTCCACACATAGAAAATCTGCATCTTAGGCATCAACTGCTATGATAGAATAAATTAGAACTGCTTTGTCCAAACAGAACCTCATAGTTAGAAACTACATCTAGAAAATCTACGTAGCCAACAATTTTTTGGTTATGACTCTCTTAAGGTAGCCAAATGCCTCGTCATCTAATTAGTGACGCGCATGAATGGATTAACGAGATTTCCACTGTCCCTATCTACTATCTAGCGAAACCACAGCCAAGGGAACGGGCTTGGAAAAATCAGCTGATCAAGGTTATAATCACTGAAGTTGTTTTATCTTGAAAAGAGAAAATATAGAGAAGATTTGTTTGGGGTGTTTAAGATAATTAAGTGAATCAGTAGTATTGATGCATCATCTTTTTCATTTCATTTGATTGTGAAAGTCATGGGACAAAGAGACATCAATGTATGTTATAGTAGGATAGGAGTCATGAGCCTAGACAATTTTACTTTCCTAACAGGGTGTTTGACCTTTGGAATTGATTGCCTTAAGGTGTAATGGATGCAGTAAATTTAAGGAAGTTTAATGGAAGGCTTCATAACTATTTACATGATCATGGCTGGATTTGGTTTATTTTTTTCATAAAGTGGATGAGACATCTCTGATGGACCAACAGTCTCCATTAATGTCCCTTAAATGATGCAACTATGGTTTTTAATTATGTACAGTGCCTGCAAATGTTGTGAGTATTTTTAATGTTACCCTACTATATGCCTATTAACACTATAATTATTCAAAAATTTGCTAATAAAGTGCAAGTGCATTCATTTGCAGTTTAATAAGTTAGAGTAACACAAAGTTGAGGAAAAAGAGCTGTTCAAAACATTGTGTTAGTCAAATACAGCATCCTTTCATTGTGGTTTTCAATCTGTTCCCCTGAGTCTAACATTTTTAAGTAAGTACTTCATTATGCCTAGTTTTTACCTGTGAATGGCCTCCACCAAATGTAGTTAGTCTAATACACAGAACAAACAAACGCATAAGCAGCAAGAATAGGAAACTGGTTCGTCTCTGCCAAGCACTTGAGGCAAAAGTAGCTGCGAAGAGAGCTTTCATACAGAACATCAAGTACATAAACCTTACACCATAACATAACAATAAGGGCAGGCAAGCCGTCCCAGCATAAATGGTGGTGAAAGCTCCTGAAAAAGAAATAAAAATTATTCAGATTTTTCTGTAAATTACAGCTCCAAATTTACCATTAAATATAATTCTATCCATTATTTCAACGTTTTTAACAAAATTCATAAACAGTTCATTGTACTAAATTCCGAGGAGAAATATTAGCTACTTATTAAATACATGCTGCAAGTTATTAGATTCATCCATTAATACTTTCTTTATTCAGTTTTGTAACATGTGACATAAGAGACTCTCAAAATGTGTAAGTTGAAACATTGGTTAAAATAAATAACATTTCTCTGAAGTTGTTTGTTGTTTTTTATAAATATGGTTTCCATCCTTCAGTCAACACTAAAAACTTTAAAGATTAAAAAAAAGTGTGTAAGAGTATTGGTATATTACATATAATTCATTAAAATACGTTTACTTCATTATAGCACCTTATCTTTTAAAAGCAAAACACCAGTTTGAATTTATTGTCTTCAAGGTTTTTATCTAAATCACATTAAGGTTAAAAAAAGCAATTCTAAAGATCATTTTCTAATGAAATCTAAGAATATGAATTTTTGATTGATGATAATGAAATTTGACTTTTATTCAAAAATATTTCTGTATCTGATATAAATAGATATATTTTTATTTTACTGGTCATCCTTAAATTATATTAATAATGGACCAAGTATGAGTTCAAAAATAAATATTAAGTTGTTTCTCTACCAATATTACCATCTGTCTCACTATACACATGCATTATGACATTAAGTAGTATACTAAACCTAAAACCAATATCAGAAATGTATACACCATCTGTATACCTTTACATAAAAAAAAAGGTTTGCTTTAAAAGCTGTAAATGCAATAAAGTATTTCATTATTGCAATAAAACATAATCTGTTTACAAAATTTGTTTTTACTTTGAGACAGACTACATGTATAAAAATAAGTATATTAACTTCAACTGATAATTGTAATAGCATCATTATGAAAACCAGTACTAATTATTTTCACATTTTCATTCTTCTAAATAAACATATAAAAACAATTACCACAGGTCTGTGTAATCCAGATGCCTATTATGTCCCACTTCAAGAGTTTCATGTAGGTCTTACATCCTCCTTCATGATTCATGAACAAGTGGTATATAAAGCTTCCTAACCATGGTGCAAATGTGGCAACTACATGGCAATAAGGCAAGACAGGTATTTGTATCTGGTGCCATGGTAACAGGGTTGGTAGGCAGATGAGTGCATACATTAAAGCCAAGGCTTGTGAAAAAAACAATAATAAAATCACCAAACAATAATTTCAACATAACTAATACATCATGTTTACATGTGCATTTAGAACCACAAGTCTATATAATGTTAAATAATAAAATAAACAATCAACATGGAAATAACAAAATTATCATATAGAACTTAGCATAAAGTTAAATTTGATGATGAGGAACCCACTTTTAAACTAATATTGCTTGGAGACAGCTTGAATGGGTAATGCATGTTTCAACAAGGTTTTGTCATCATCAGGTACAGCTTGTACATTTGCTGTTATGTTAAACTAACATTACAAGTTTTTCTTCATTACCCATTCAAGCTGTCTCCAAGCATTATTAACATAAAGTTTCATGTTTTATAGAAATCATTTGTCTCAACGACATGAGCGATAATACTTTTATAGGTTGACCAGGTTTTCTTCTTGTAAGCTATATTTCCAATGTTTTAATTCTGATGTTAGCTAGAGGGTGAATGATGTTAAGATTAAGTAAATATATGGGAGTAAACCTAGAACATTCTAAATGGTGTTATGAAAACCTATATTATAATATAACATTAAAGGACAACAAGGGACCATTCAGACTATCCTATCCAATAAATTAAACATTGAAAAAGAAACCTCAAAGTCAGCCCTTATCATTCAAGTTTTTGTTAAACTCCCCTAGACTGAAGGTAACCTGTTCCAAAGGCCAACCACCTTGTTATAAAAATAAAACTGTCTTAGCCAAAGATGACTCCTACCCTGTCAAAGTTTTCTTGTGTCCCCTAGTCTTAACATTCTTACCATTAAGTAGGAAAAACGATGGTGTATCAAAACCATCAATGCCCTTAGCAATCTTAAACATCTTAATTAACCAAATCTATTCTAACTTCTTTTTTTCAAGAGAAAACAAGTTCAAAAACCTTAACCTATATAACAACCATTCCATCCCAGGTATTATCTTATTAGCCCAAGACTAAATACACTACTCCAAGTGTGGCCTAACCAATAAACTATACAATGATATTACAATCTCTTTAGACTTGTTATTCAATATTTCTGTAGATACAACCTAAAATCCTATTTGTCATGCTACTAGCAACAGCATATTGGGTGGATGGCTTAAGAGAATGATGATTCAGACACACTGTCTATGTAAACTATTGTACCTGATGATGGCAAAAGCTTGTCAAAATGTTGTACATATGTAATAAAATTTCTTTCACTACCCATTCAAGCCGTCTCAAAACTTTAAACAAATTACAACATTAAAAATACATAGCTTACAACAGTATATCTTCTACAACTGTGTAAGATGAAAATCTATTGGGTATTGTCATTCACTCAACTGTAACATATGCAAAATTATATCCACTATCCTCTACAGATACATAGAATGATCATCTCATAATCTTTATCACTCATTCAACTAGAAATGGAATACAAGAGCACAATTTTCTCTGGATTTTTAAAACAGCCCTAAACAGTGTATTGTTATTTCTAGAACAATTTAACTACTGAAGTAGTGTATGCTACTAATTAAGATTTTCTGAAGAAGTAAAACCAAAGTTTTAAGCCTAACCTTATGTTTTAAAAAGTACAATTTTATCATGGTTTTGTTGTGTAAAACATCTAAAGAAAGGATTACAATAATAGACTTATGCAATTATGGTTGAATGTTAAAAGTTTAAGTTTAACTGCATGAAACATTACCTTAAAATATAAACTTAAAACGAATAGCTTGACATATTTATAATTTCAGTTTTCTCAGTGCCTTTTGTTTTCTCAACGACTATAAATTTTACAATGTTTGTAATAACTTGCATCCTATAAATAAAAATATCTCAATAAACCAATACAGCATCATTAGGAAAGCCAATGAGATAAAAAAAAAAAGCATGGAATACAGTAGGGAAAAGACCATAAACATGTGGAGCATCTATTGTTAAAATAGTGTTTCAGAAGTATATGAAATAATGAATAAATAAAAGTGATGACTTAAGCGTAAGGAGACAGCAAGTGCTCAAAAGTCAAAACCATTTCACTTTTCACTGTCTGCTTTGACATCATGTCCTAATTATTTATTTGGGCTTCTCACTTTTTACCTTTTTCTAATAAATAATTAAAAAAATAACAACACTAGTAATTAGTAAGCATCTATGTAATGAACAGTAGTACCTCACAATCTGAAAGAAATGTGAGAAACCAAGAGTAAAATTTAATGACAATTCCTTATACTATAGTTATACTAAAACTGTGAATAACTTCTTAAAGTTTTATAATTTATACATCAAATTAATTAAATAGATTTAAAAGTGTAAAATTTGTGCTTATTACTAAGAGTTACCTTTATTTCTTTGATTTTTATCTAGCTTTAATGATTGTTACTTACCATGGGTTACTATATTTACTGTTTCATTGTGAAGGTAGAACAGACTTCGTATACAACCCCAGGTTGTCAAAATGGGCCTATAACCTTTAAAAATGTATGGATTGAACTGCAAGTAGATAGGAGACTGGTCTCTTCGAAGTAACAGTGATTGGTCATTAGCCTCACTAAAGTTACTGAACTTTTCTTTAAAATTAGATCTCAGTTTTCTGACATTACATGCTGTTTTCCAGAATATTGTTTTATTACCAAAAGTTGGATTGCCTTTTCTCGTAGCTGGTATCAGATCAACAGTCAACGCCTCTGGAAAACCATTCTGTAAGTGTAAATGTTTGCTGGAGTTAACCCCACTTATAATTGTACTGTAATTTTCTTTGTCACAAGAAAATCCCACATTCACGTCCTTATTAATACTACTTGTACCAACAGTAGGTATTTCCACGTCCTTGTTAGTATTAGTAGGACTAAATTTAGTAGCATTACCACTAATATTAGTATCAGTAATATTACTGGGCTTATAGTTATACATAATTTATTTATTTTTTATTTTGTAACAAACTATCCTATGAGCTTACTGCTTGTCAAGTTAGGAAGTTAGATTAGAACAATAAAATTAAATAATGTATAAGTTTTATTACTTTATTAAACTTATTTGCTCGTACTAACAGGCCTCTTATTGTAACTACCAGTACCACAGTAAAAAAGATAATTCATCCAGTATTACTACTTTACCACACATCCTGAACACTTAAAAAAAATTAAGTGACTCATATTGAACAGTAACCTTGGCACCGACCGTACCGCCTACTAGTAATAAATATTACAATATTGTGATAACGGCCCGAAAAAATGTGTCCGAAACATGTAGTAAAATATATTTGCTTTACAATATGTTTGTTTTTGTTTGTTTTGAATTTCGCGCAAAGCTACACGAGGGCTATCTGCGATAGTCGTCCGTAATTTAGCGGTGGAAGACTAGAGAGAAGGCAGCTAGTCATCACCACCCACCGCCAACTCTTGGCTACTCTTTTACCAACGAATAGTGGGATTGACCGTCACATTATAACGCCCCCACGGCTGAAAGGGCGAGCATTTGGTGTGACAATGGGCTATCTGTGCTCTGCCCACCACGGGTATCGAAACCCGGTTTCTAGCGTTATACGTCCACAGACATGCCGCTGTACCACTGGGGGCGTTGTTTTTCAATTAAAGAAATGATTAAGAAATATATAATGAAAATCAACTTGATCAACAGTGGTCTATAATAAATTATGTATATTTAATGAAACTATAAGTATAGATCCAATTGTAAGCACACCAGTTTATCCAAACAAAAAATTAATTCACGAGCAGAGGCGGCATTAAAAGGTATTATGGCTACCCCAAACAGCAAAACAGAACATTTTGGCTTGTGAGAGCTTTTTATTCGGCAGCTCTGTCTGTAAAATTAACAAGAACTGCTAATTGCATTGTCGATTTTGGCACCCCTTGGAGTGAGTGCTTTGTGCATGGATATTCGTCGCCCACTCCAAGAGCTTGCCCTATGGCAAAGCCCTTAGATATTTTGTATGACCCATCTCATCTCCCTCACCTGGAAAAGACTGTCGCCGGACCCGTTCACGAGTCTTTTTTTATTTTCAGTGAATGCAAACGCTTATGCGATAGATTATTACAAAATTTTTGCATAATTGCTTATTTTCACTATTAATAATTAAAGCCTTTCATCATTAATCTTACTGTCCTCTTAACGTTTCTCTTCTAATAGAGTATCGAGGTTGAATTAAACGCAGTGTAATAGTTGAAACTGCCAGCAGAGGTAAGAATTATATATATGTATTAAAACAGCTGTTTCGGGTTCCTCGCTATGTGGACCTATGTTTTCTGAACTGCACGATGATTCTGTTGACTGTCAAAAGCGGAATTCCCAAATTCTGCGAAATTTGCCGCTGACTTATTCCACCATCTGCTTGACCAACTATCCTTCCTCTAATAAAATCTGACAATTCGAGAGAACCTTAAGTTCTAGGCATGTTGTAGCACAAGATAACTAGTGTGCGGACCATTTTCATTTATATAGTGCTCTGTGAACACAAATTAGTTGGCATAAATCAGTTAAATGACGAAAAATTAGGTGTCTATTTACTTGTGACCACTCAGTATACACGCACATGTTTATGAGTGATTCCTAAAGACGAAACTGCTGTAGTATTGTCAGATAAACTGATTTCAGCACAAGTATCAAATACATCCGCTTAATTACGGATGGATTCAGCAGAAAGTTTGCAAAGTAATCTGAATTTTAAATCCGATTGAGTTTTAAGCTGTGTGAGAAATAAGGAGACTAGATACGTGATATAAAGTGAAACAATCTGTGTTAAAACAAAACAAAAAATCGGGGTGTGTACTTGTATAAGCAAAGTATTAGTAAATGGGACGGCAGGTCTCTTTCTCTCAAGACATATCTCTGTCAAGCTAAATACTTTGGAAACCAGTTAGAGCTCATATTAAAACATCAAGATTCTTTACTAATACAGAAAACCCTGTATTCTTTCTTTGCAATATCGTCACCATGTGACTGGACATTCTCTCACAGTATTTGTGGCTGTTACATGAAGAAATCATCATTCATTTGACCAATGAATGATATTGCAATCATTGATCCTTTCCTACACTAATGTGCAAATATCCTGCAACATCCCATTCTTGAACTACGTGTTTATGCAAAAACTGTATATAAAAAGATTAAACAAAAAGAAGAAAATCTTATATTAGTAAACACGATGAAAACATAGGATAGACTCACTTATCGCACTGTAAAACACAAAATTCATACAGTTGACCTATTAATATACATACTACATCATTCTAATGTACAATCTACATCACATTGTATAACTGCTGTGATATTTGAATATGCCATTATGTTTCTATCCTCTGGTATTGTTATAATACTTATTCTGAATTTATTCTTTGTTCTGAATACGTACAAGTTTCACATAAAACGTGGTCGAGAAATCTATAAAGTTGATCTTGTTTCAAATTACCTTTGTTTCTTTGTCATTCTTGTAGTAGGTAATACCTGTTACCACCCATGAAGAACTTAAAGTGATCTTGTGTAAGAATGTCGACAGAATTGTCCTTCAATGGTTTTTCCAGTGAAATCTAGATATTATGGCCCCACCTATGTATAATAACAATGATCAGCCACTTGGTAATACATGTCACTCAGAGTAATTGTGAGCTTTCTTGAAAACTATGAAACCTGGAGTTAGTAGACTGGTAAATTATGTTTGCCTGAGAGAGAACATCCATTTAAAGCGGCCATTCAACCTTTGTAAGTACGTTGTAAGTACACCACACACACTTTGCTTATGTTTACACTAAATAAAGAATGTTTTACATTTGTGTCCAATCCCATTATTCTGTTTAACATTGTCTAATTTAAGTAAGACTTTTAGTAATACTCTTTAATCAATACCCTGCTCGAATCTCTAGCTATTTACCTGATCTGTTCAATAGCTAAAAGATATATCCAGGTTTATCTGGATATACCAGAGAAAAAAAGCTGATAGGTAAGAGAAAATTTGGTGCTGTTACTGCAGGAGTTTGTTACTATGGAGTTTCCTATTAGCTTCCGTACTACCCTTACACTTACTCTTGTGTGATTTAAGTTTAGAAAAACTTAATAGTAAGGAAATGGCGTTTTCTATGACTAGAAAAACTAACTAAGAAGAAGAGTCAGTCACAAAAATAGATTATTTTCTGACAAAGTTATCATGTCTGTGAGAAGTCCTTTCTGGAACATTGAACTTTTGCCAATGTTGTGAAGGTCTATGACTTTGATCTTATTGTAACCTATGACCTAGAAAGAACTGCTGATATCTGGTACAACCGATGTGTCAGTTGAGTTCTCTCTATTAAGATTGACCACTTAGAATTAATGTGATGACTTGGCATCTGGTGAGTTTGAGAAAAGGTGATCGACCTGTACTGGAGGACTTCTAGTCTAATGCTAGCCAGAGTAGCCCAGCCCAATCGCTATTGTAGCCACTCAGAGATTAAAAGAGACTGACAACACCGTTGTTGGATGCTGTCCAACAACCAGAGCTATCTCATCAACAGAGGATATGGTGGGTGCTGAATAAAATAAGTGAGTCATGGAGAAGTGGTAAGCCTCTCTGAACTGGAAGATATATTGCTAAAGTGAATATAATTCGTAGAGGAGCTTGGGGTTTTGTATAATCAACAAATGACTGCTTACAGCAACTCATTGCTCTGTTGCCCTGGATCAGGAGCCTATCATTCATCAGAGCATCAGGGTCACAATAATGGGCCCACCATGACTAAAGAAAAATATATTATTCCATTGAAATTTAAAGGTGCTGAAGATATAGTCAACTCATGGGTTAACTGGGCTCCAGGAAAATTCTTTGAAGCCATGAGACTAGGCCCAAGGGTCAGGTAGTGAGACCTTGCTGATGACCACTATCACATCTGATTGAGTAACAACTTATGCCAAACAATGATGGAAAAGTCAACACAAGCCCAGGCACCGAAAAACACAGTACCATTTAAACCAGTGCTGACAAAACAAGTGTTGAAAAAACCTAAGGTGAATGAAGGAGTCTTCACCTCAATAACCAAGAGGCCCACATGACACCACAATTGTAGTCAAGGGCTGATCTACTCACGCCTCCGACCTTCATCACAATATGGCTGACCTTGCAGCAGATCTAAATATTAATATGGTACTGCCAAGAAACGGTAGTAAAATTGAGAGACTGGGTTTTGCTCAACCAAGAATAGAACCATTTATGTTAGAGGTACAATGCATCCTCCTGACTAGAAGAAGAGGTTCGCTAGCTAAGCACAGAGCTGATGCAGACCAGTAAGTACACTGCAAGCACACACATTGTATTTGTATTTTACTAAATAAAGATTGTTCATTTTGTTTTACACTCATGTTCAGTCTCATTATTTTGTTTAACATTGAATCAGCTAAGTAAGATTTTAGTAATACTCTGTAATCGATATCCTGATCAAATGTCTAGTCACTTAGCAGACCTTTCATGTGGTTCAAACTTATATTAGTTTTACCTGGATATACCATATTGCCAAATATTATTAAGGATCCAATACTTTGTATCTTGCCAGAGGCCTCACAATGGCTAAGGCCAGTTCCAAAAACCAGTATTTTACCCTTTCCAGTATTAGAGTGGTATTTCAAATGCCAAAAGGTTTTTACCCGCAAAGCAGTCAGTTTGCAAACTAACTGGAGGTTTGAAGAATACACGACTGTGGACTATATTGACCTATTTGATGTACAACGGCTATTGAAAAGACTTGACATCAATAGAAGTACAATGAACACAAAAATGTTAATTCATAAATAACCAAAGTCACAATAACATAATACAATTACAAAATCAAAACAAGAGTAAGTGTACAGTAGTTTGTGTTGAACTGATAAAAGAAAAGTGAAGACTTTATTTAAAAGCTCGATATATTCCCCATGTAATTTATACTGATACTGTAAACATGAAAATCCCAATGTTAAGCTTGGATTTTAGAAACTGTTAAGCCATCATCTAAACTCTTTCAAGTGTAACAATTCAAA